CAACTCTTGGGCTACTCTTTTACCAACGAATAGTGGGATTGACCGTCACATTATAACGCCCCCACGGCTGAAAGGGCGAGCATGTTTGGTGGTATGCGTATTCGAACCCGCGACCCTCAGATTGTGAGTCGAGCGCCTTATCCACCTGGCCATGCCAGGCATATATGTGACAACAAACCCATTGGTACAACGTGGATGTATTTCATATTTATTATAAGTAGGGGGGTTTATGATCATCCAATGGGGGCTCACCTGTAATTACATTTCGCTTACATTTGGGATAAAATGAAGCTGCCGGTTGCTGAGGTAAAAATAAAATACTTGTAAGTACTGCCACTAATAGCATATCAGCTATAAGTTTGAAGGTTTATAATGCTCAAATTTGAGACTTAATAGCGCAGATAGCCCACTGTCAAATTTTGCGCTTAAAAACATAAATACTACTCTTACTCAATACGCACTACTTTTAACAACCACTTGGTATCCTAAAAGATATTACTTTTAGTACTATTTTGATGGCTAAGTAAATAAATGTCTGAGTAATATCTTCATGGCTCAGTAGGTACTACTATTAGTAACATTTTCGTACCTCAGTAGGTACTACTCTTAGTAACATTTTCGTACCTCTGTAGATACTACTCTCAGTAACATTTTCGTACCTCAGTAGGTACTACTCTCAGTAACATTTTCGTACAATGCCTGATTTAGGCATAAGCTAAACAAGCTACAGCTTAGGGCCCCACAAAATTTCATATATATATATATATTTGCTTTTAAAATGTTATGCGGCTTTTTATGTGTACTGTAGTTTTTAAAATGTCTTTATATGTAAATAATTTCAGTAATATTTTAAGACTAAATTTTCTATGTTTTCAGGTTTACAAAGTTGACAGTTATTTTACTCCAGCAACAGATAAGGATCCACAAACCCAAGGTGATCAGCAAAGTCCAAAACAACCACAGCCTAGTGCCTCTGCTATTGAGACAACAGAGTCTGGAATCTCAGCTGAGAAAAACACTGGAAGTGATGCAAATGTCAGCGTTGCAGAGCCAACATCCACAGTTGAAACAACAAAATTCACGAAACTCAATGATGTAGGCAAATGGGATATCTTAATCGAGGATGAACTCTCATACTGGATCCTTAAAGGTCCTTCAGAGTGTCAACACTGGAACGGCCCTTTTGAAAACTCGAAGCGGCCATTGAAAAATCAAGATAGATATTGTTTAAAAGGTCTTTTTCAGTCCAGAAAAGTTAATGGTGAAATATATGATCGGGAATGGCTAGTGTACTCTCCAACAACTGGCTGTGTTTACTGCTTTGTCTGCAAGCTCTTTTCAACATCAACTGCAGCACTAGCTTCTGGTGGGTTTCCTGACTGGCAAAATCCCATTGCAATTCAAAGTCATGAAAACTCTGAAGAGCATAGAACAGCTTTGCTGACATACTTGACAAGAAAGCGTGGTTAGACTCAAAACTAGCAGAACAAATAAAAACAGAACAACAGTACTGGAGACATGTGCTTGAGCACGTTGTTGCAGTGATATGCACATTAGCAGAACGTGGGCTAGCTTTTAGGGGAGACAATGAAACTTTTGGATCACCAAATAATGGCAACTACCTTGGCCTGTTATAATTAATTGGTAACTTTGATCCATTTCTTTCCAATCACATAAAACAATATGGAGACAGAGGATCTGGGTCTCCTTCATATTTGTCTAAGATAATATGTGGTGAACTTATCCAGCTTATGGCTGATAGAGTAAGAGAATCAATTTTGGATGATTTGAGAAAAGCAGACTACTTCAGTTTGTCTGTGGACTCTACACCAGATCTTTCTCATGTGGATCAACTAACTGTTATAATAAAATATGTATCACCTGTTGAACGCTTTCTAACTTTTCTCGAGCAGGAAAATCACAGTGGTGAAAGTATGGCGGATATGGTAGTGGATTATCTGAGTAACGACTGCAAAGTTGATTTCAGTAAGTGCCGAGGACAGTCATATGATAATGCAGCAAATATGGCTGGTAAATGCAATGGAATGCAGCAAAAAATGCTAGAGAAAAACACGCATGCTATGTATATTCCCTGTGCCGGACATTCACTAAATCTTGTTGGCCGTGCTACAGTAGATTGCTGTTTAGATGCAGTAAACTTTTTGCTGTTGTGCAAGAAATATACACTTTCTTTTCATCTTCTACAAAGAGGCGGGCTGTGTTGTTATCATTCTTGAATGCAGACTCCAGAGTGCCAAAGTACCTGTCCGACACTAGGTGGGAAGCACATGCCAAAGCTGTGTCTGCCATGAATGAGAGTTACAGGTCAATCACCGATGCTCTAAGTCATTTCCATGCTAATGAAAATGAAAAGGGTGATACAAGAAGACAAGCTGGTACTCTTCTGGAAAAATTGGAGGAACTGGAGTTTGTTTTTATGCTACACTTATGGACTCGTTTGCTGGAGGAGTTTCACAAAACCAGTAAGGCTCTCCAGGATCCACAGATTGCACTTACCACATGTACGAATCTGTACACATCACTTTCCCACTTTGTGAAAAATATTCGAGAAAATTTTGATGATATTGAACAAGAAGCTAAATCCAAACTGCCTGATGTAGAATACAAGTGTGCAGAAAAAAGAAGGAGGGTGAGAAAAAAAGCCAACGATGGAGCTGCACCTGATGCTGATAAAGAGCTTTTTCTAAGAGACAAATTTCGAATGAAATTCTTCATTCCTATAATAGATGTCCTTGAAGCAAACTTGAGCAGAAGAGTAACAGTCTACAATTATGCTGCAAACAAATTTTCATTTTTAGTTGATTTAGAAGCTTCAGAGGCACAGCTACGTGAAGCAGTAGAAACTTTGATGAAAGAGTATACAAACGATGTTGATATTAACCTTACGGGAAACTGAAGCACTTCCATGCTTATGTCAAGCAGAATTATCCAGGAAAAAGAACAAATTTGCCACAAAGATCTGTATCAAATCATCTTCCAAGACAAGATTCATTTAGTTTTCCCTAATGTGAAAGCAATATTACAACTATTCTTATGTCTGATGGTAATAACTTATTCAGGAGAAAGGTCATTTTCACAGCTAAAGAGAATCAAAAATGAACTGAGAGCAACTATGTCTCAAGACAAATTGTATGCATTTAGCATCATGTGCATAGAAAGCGATAAGCTGCGTAGCATATCATTTGAGGACATAATTCATGATTTTGCTTTTGAGAAATCAAGAAAGAAAATGTTTTAACTTGTATCTGGTATCAGTTTTCTGATCTTGCAAACGAGTTCATTATTATTCATATTAAACCCTTGGCGCACGTGGGTGTTACCTCAGCTGAATAAAATCGTCTAGAGTTAGCCAGAATAAAATACTAAAAGTGCTCGTGATCCTTAAAGGGTTATTAAAAGTGATCCTGATTACTTATTTTGTCAACATTTTGTATATATATATTAATGTATCTTAAAATTATTTTAAAAATTACATTTAAGTATTGTTTCCAGTGTATACTATATTATAATCTATGAGAGAGATCAAGCCAGGCAAGTGATAAATATGTAATCAGTAAATGCATTCATTTGAAATGAATTTGTATTTTTCACTTTAAATACCCTGCTATTAAGTAATTAAAAAGCATATATATGTTTTCAAAGTCCTGTTTTGGTACGCACCTTTATGAGACCTTCTGGTGTAACTTTTTAACAAGGGGCCTCCAAGCTTTATATAGCTTAGGGCCTCACCATGTCTAAATCCGGCACTGTTTTCGTACATCAGTAAGTACTACTCTTAGTAACATTTTCGTACCTCAGTAGGTACTACTCTTAATGAAATTTTCGTACCTCAGTAGGTACTACTCTTAGTAACATCTTCGTGCCTCAGTAGTACTGCTCTTAATAACACCTTCATAGAAAGCTGAAGTTACATCAAGCCATTCGACCATACTATATTAGTACTCATTACAAGTAAGAAATAAAGCAAATATTCTAAAGGATTTATTTCCATCTTATTTCGTTCGAACGGATTCGTAAAAGACCTAATAGATATTTATGTTCTTTAAAATTATTGCTTAATTTGCCCATTTTAAGAACGGATTTACCATGGCTTGGGTATGACTTGTTGCAGGTCTCTTTTTGAATGGTCTTCCCCAAGTTGATCCATATTCATTTGTTAATGAATGCCCCCACAGTTGAATTGAACGTACGACCCACAGACTGCGAGTCGAGCGCCCTAACCCCCTGGCCTCCGATACTACAGAAACTGCTAAATACATACTCACCTGGTGATCTACTACAACAATACAGTGTCTGAAAAACGCCACCATATTCTCAAGTATCTCTTTATTTCAATCCATCTGATAACCTAAAGAAGCGTTACGTTAAATGCCTTCTAGGAATACACGTACGTTACGCTAGTGGGACAACTGCCCAAGGTTCGTCAGTTTTAGGGACACCAATTTTGTTCAATTGAAATTAAATACGTTAAACATCGGCAATGAGTGTTAAGAAAAATTCAAAAGGTCTGTTTTACACCGTATGTAAAGCTTGAACAACAAAAAAGCACGCATCTAATTTTTACGTGAAAAGAAATAAAATATGGTTAAGAAGCTTTGGACCTTACGTTCAGAATAACTATGAACTGCAGTGTGATGCATGTTGTAACCATCGATATTATTTTATTGTTGGTATAATAACTCGACAAATTGCATGATGTGCATCTTGTTGTTGTTAACGCTTAATTTTATTTTGATTTCAATGTTTATGAATACATTTGCAAGTATATTTATGGTTTATTTAAGGTTTTTTTTTTTGGGGGGGGGCTCCTTAATTAGCCAGTTGTGAA